CATGGGGCTGGTGCCAGCAGCTGCAACAGCCAGAAGGAGCCACTGCTGCCTGAGCTGCCTAGAAATGGAGTCCAGGTGTGGAGCCACCCCAGCCCTGCCATGGATGCACCATGGGCTGGATGGCACCTCGCCCAGGCAGGATTGAAGGACCTATCATGGGCTGGACAAAGTCCCTCTGTGGGCCACATGTGGCCCATGGACTATATTTTGCCCACCCCTGTTATAGACTAACTCATTTAGAGAGACATGAGCTTTCATAGGCTACAGCCGTAGTCAGATGCTATGAATGTAGACCTAGTTTTCACTAGTTTCAAATTCTTTAGACTATTTGTTGTTTTTTATTTCTCTCCTTTTCTAAACTTCTTTCTCCCTACATATGGTGAGTCTTCTGTAATGTGCATAAGTTCCATCTGTACTATATTCATTCAAATTCTCTTCAATATAATGCACATATTTAGCACTGCATACCTCCAGGCTCACTCCACTTCCCATTTTGTTGACTGGCCACTACCAAACCATACTCTCCAGTATTCTGCTGCCATTGGTTAATTAATCCATGTATCACCACCAGAATTTAAACTTCAGTTCCATAGGAATGGCAAAGAATTCACACCAGTCTTTTTCACCTCTGTATTTCTCTCCCTAACTGACAGTGTTTTGATCTTTCAATAATATTGAAACAGTGTGTTTTAATGTGAAAATGCAATAAAAATTGTCTATTCCTTTAATTAAGTTGTGCAGGTAGTGAGTGCTTGTCCTTAGCATTTAGCTTCAAAGGATGGGGCTTGATAGAGGATAGAGCACTGTAGGGAGACTGGTTGGTGTTCCCTGCCAGTGTTTTCCCATAGAAGCCTATCTGCAGAGTAGGCAACTGTTTAGTTTTATTTTCATTATTTAACTGGTGTGAGACACACCTACAGCTTTTGGATAGGTCTCCCATTCTATTCTTGCGATTATGGAAATAAACAAATGCCCAAACACATAAATAAACTATAGAATATCTGGAGCTCAGTATTTATTAAGACAATGCAGTACCTCTATTTTATCACAAGATGGCAGAAAATACCCAGTGTGTATCTAGTGATCTTGTAAATGGAATATTTAAATGTCAATACTGGGTAGCAACTATGTTTCTTTGCCATATTAATTCTCTTTATTTATTTGTGTAGAAAGGGTTAATTTTATAGTGAAACAAAATACATTTATAAATTGCTCTGTGTTTATAATCGTATACAGTGTATGCATGGAATACATGCATACCAACGTATATGTAAAAATATTTTTGCATTTCGTTTTTATTTTTATTAAATAAACAGAAAAACAGATAAAAGCATACATATAGAAATATAATTAAATGTAAATAAAAACAAGACAGTTGTTAGTAGATGGAATGACAAGTAGTTTTGAGTACAGGCTATTAAACTGATTTTTATCAATCTTGATTTGTTTTATGGATCTCAGTGGAACTTAACCAAACCAAATTTGAGATCTGTGTTAAATCAGTAATAGACCTGGTATTTTATTTCCAATTTATGCTGCTAAAAAAAGGCCAAAATTTTCAGACATTAGCTAAGTGGGTCAGAGTTAAGGTTAAATGTTCAACCATACTTATCATTCTTGACTTTCAAATGTTCTGTTTTTCATCCTTATAGATTCATTAATATTGGTTTCCTCATCATTATATTTCTGTAACTGACACATGATAAACTAGTCATAGACAAATATATCAAGATCTTGCTTCAAATGTAACATAAATAACAACAGGATAATGTAGTGAAGTTATTGGAGTAGGAATTAGAGGATTTGGTCTCTGATGCAGACTTAGGTTAAGCATTTATGCCTCAGTTTTCACCATTAGTAGACACGGGTAGTATTTCCATAGAGTTTTTGTATATGTTGTGGAGCTCAATTTATAGAATACTTATACCATATATGATTCAAAATAGGAGTCCATAATTGATTTCTCTAGTTCATATTTAGTCCATATTCCTGAACTACTTCTTCAGAACAGTTGATCTGCTAACAGATTCATGTTTTAGACTTCTCTCTTAAAACATGTTAGCCTTTGTGCTTATCTAGTGTCTTTCCTCTGAAGTTGTTAAATTGGTATTCTAGAAAGCATATACAATATGACTAAGGGAGAGAGAAAGCTCAAGGAAGATTTACTCAATATTAGATAATCAGATTAATTTTAAGACTGTGTTACTGAACTTTTTAAACTTAATATTTGGCACAAAAACAGTAGAGCTAACTTTGAGGTCAAAAGTAGCAGTGTATCTTAGTGGACAGAGCATTGCACTGGGAGCCAGTTCCTGACCGGTCATGTCACCGTGGGTGAGACGCTTCACATTTCTATGATTTTGCTTCCTCTCCTACTTTTTGCCACCCTTTCTGTTTAGATTGTGAGCCCCTCAAAGCAGGAAGTATGCCATGCTACAGTACAAATGATATATCTGTAAAGATATCTCCTATGCCTGCCAAAGGGTGTTTTTGCCTGAAAGCTTGCAATTAAAGAGATTTTTTTTTTGTTAAAATCTAGTTGGTCTAATAAAAGATATCACCTCTGCCACAATGTCTGTAATGTGCAGTTAGTACAAGGGACCCTGAGGTCCTGATCAAAACTGAGGCCCTTGAGACCATATAGTACAAGTAATATAAATATGTTGTTATATGCGTAAGCACAGTATGTGACTTTATGGGACTTTGTTGTCTCACCTAATGGTCTCCTTGGGGAGCAATGGATACACCCTTTGTTTGACACCATGCAAGTGGATAGCCAGGCATCTTCATTTAATTATTCTCGTAAGCTGAAGACTGAAGCCAACATCTTTAGAATGCCTTTTGTAAACTAAAGTGTAGTGACATTGACAGCTGTTTTCAGTGCATGTCTGTTATAAAATGTCATCTATCTTCACAGTAGGGAAGGTACAAAAAGTGACAGACAAAATAAATACACAGGGAATGGACTGTTATATATGATCACATTTATGAATGAGCTAGGAGTAAGGTTAACCTCATGAGTAGCAGTTTAAATTATTTATATTTAATCTTGAAACTGTACTTAACACATTGTTAAGTTAGCACCAGGTTGACAGGATGGCATTAATTACATTGGTAGAAGTCTATCACATTAACAGGGCACAAACACTGAATCCAAGACCTCTGGTTTCAGGATCTCTGGTCTCATTTGTACAGTTGTTTGAGTTGCTTCCTCCTTCAGAAACATTATGAGTCTCCCCCTTTTTGTTCATCTTTAGAAGCTCCTGTTACAAACTCACTTGGCCTTGGCTTTGAATTAGCCCTTTACTCACAATTGTAAAATATCAAATCTGTTTCCTGTTGTATGAGCGTAAAAAAGAGTGTTCTCCATGCTTTCAGAAACTGTGAATCTTAAAAACATAAGGATCTCCAGTCCACCAGTAGATACACACGATATGCATTCCCTGAAATCCTTTAATGGTCCAGTTCCCACTGTGTAATTAATACCAAGAATAGCATATCCGTCAGTGCAGGACATTATTTTATTCTGAGGTGTTCATTCTTTTAAAAAGCATTTGCATTACTCATCACACTGCTCAGTAAATGTGACTTGTAGGAGTGCACCAATAGAGATTTTGCGGGCTGATACTGATAGCCAATTTTTAAGGAGGCATACAGGCCAATACCAGTCTGATTTCCGATACACAGACTGGCAGCTTGAAGAGGTACTGGCAGCTGGTAAGTCTGTTGTAGTGCAAGGGGAGGAGGGAGAGAAGGGGCATGGGGGGACAGATCAAGGCCCCTGCAGTGAGGGAGGAGTAGGGCTGGGGCTGGTGCAGGCATTGCCTGGGTGGGGCGGGCTACAGCTGTGGGCTGGGGTCAGGGCTGCACTGAGCTCTTTCTGGCAGGGCTTGGCCTGGGCTGTGGTACGGGTGGGTGATGGTGCTGGGAGGGAGTTATGAGGGGGCAGCAGCCACCCCAGAATTCAGTGTAGGCCCCTCAACTTCCCAGCAGTGATGCTGCCTGCCCCAAGCACAGCCCCGGCCCAACCCCTCCCCCACATGCACCAGGAAGAGTCCAGCACAGCTCCAGCCCCAGCCCACACTGGCAGCCCACCCTACCTGCACCCTGCATAAATCTAGTTTCATAGTAGTTAGGGAACAGAAGGGACCTGAATAGATCATCTAGTCTAACCCCCTGCCACTGGTTGAAGCACATGCTGGGATCACACGACCCTAGACAGGTGTTTATCCAACCTCTAGGAGCATTTGCCCTCCTCATGCCTTCCCATGGTGTGCACAGCAGCGGGAACTGCACCCTCCCGCACCTCCTGGACGAGCTATGGCTCTGTCCCATGCCCTGCCCCACCCTGGCTGGGCAGCACCTGCTCTAGCCCTTGCCACAGCTCCAGCTCCTCTCCCCCCATCACTGCAGGGGCCTTGATATGCCCCCACCTCATCCCATCCCATCCCTCCCCACTCCCCTTCCCCCACAACAAACTTACCAGCTGGACACAGCTCTCCAAGCTGCTGGACTGCGCTCCTCGCTGCCTATGTTCTGTGCTGCGGCTCCACACATGCACAGGCCATTTATCACCCAAATTATCGGCCACGTCAGGCTGATTTCTGATACAGTAAATATTTTTTATATACACACCGATCCGATATTGGACCTATGTATTGGTGCATCTCTAGTAACTTGAATAACATTTGTATAGATATCGGCTAACAAAAGCAGGGAATTGATGTTTTCCCTTTTGTTTAGTACTGCAGTAAGGTAAGAACCACAAAATAACTGGAAATACCACAAAACGTTAGGAATTTATATACAAGTACATGATTGACTGATTGATTGTCTGTTTAGAATTGCTGTTATATTTTTCAAGACTCTACAGCATGGTTAATACAGTTAGAAGTTGTTTAGGCCAGGCATATGTATAGCATGTATTTTGTGTTAGTATGTTAATATATACTGTTATTATGTAAGATAATGTTTAATAATGTCTACTTCTCTCTTTGTAGGTTAGGCCAAAGACCCTGATTCCAGACAGCCTTCCTATTTCCCCATGCAGAGACCAACCATCCAAACAGCCTCCTGCTTTCCAAAAGGCAACAGTAGTCAGCATCAAAAACCCCAGCCCTGCCCTCCCCACTGCCAATAACACTGTCAGCCATGTACAGACGCTTAACAGCCAGTCACACAGTGTTGCTGAGTCTGCATCCATTTCATCACCTCTGAGCAGTGCGGGTGTGGCCTATGCCATCATATCCACCTCCCCAAACAATGCAGCTCCTATCAGCACCAGCGCTACTGTCTCTGTGGTCAACGATAGCATTAAAGTACAGCCACTCCTCATCAGTGCTGACAGCAAGGTAGGTCTTGCTCCTGTAACGCATACTTACATCAAGTGTCAGAATAATATTGCAAATATGGACACTGTGTTCCCAATGGTTTGAAAAGCCCTGTATGAAGTGATGCCAGTGGTTCCTTTCAAAGTGAATAAGCAGAAAGCAATGAGAATGTTTTTAAGGGGACACATGGAATATAATTATATTTAGCTGTGTATCTTGGTACATTTTTCCTCTGCTTGTCTGAGAAAGAAAGTTTGACACTGTATAGCTTGATGTTAGTGGAACCATCTACTCTCCTTTCAAAGCAGTCCTAATTAATGAGACTCGGAACTCTGAGCATGCTCAAATGTCCTCTTAATTTTTCCTTGAATTATAAGACTGATATTATGTAGACAAATCTTGCAGTCTCTTAATGCTTAAAACTCTTGAGGGCTATATAAAGTAAACAGGTGTATATTTCAGAGGAAAGTTCAGGAGGGTGCAGGGTTTCAGAGCTGATCATGAACTGCACTGGTAGAAAGCATTCAACTATGAAATACCTGTTTACAGTTAATACAGTTTCTAAGCTTTGGAACACAAGAATGATACATGTGCAGTATCAGATGTAAGATTATGAAAGGTTTAAAAAAAATAAAGAAGCTATTATAGAATGTCCAGAGTAGTTCAGTTATTGAGATCATGTTATTTTGGTTCTTGTTGGCAAAGCATGGTTTAATATACTTCTAGGAACAAATACAGAAGGTATGACGGTTTTAAAATAAATATGTGATGTAGGCATCTCTTCCATGATTCACTAACATAATTTATTTTTCTCTTAATCTGGTTACCAGCAAAAAAGAATTATCCCCACTTAAGCACTTTAATCTTTTACAGTGAATAACTGAAGATAAAATATATGATGGAGTAATATTGATTAAAAGTAAGGACTAGAATTGATTTAAAAGGCCCAGTGTTCTAATCCAGTAAACGTCAGAAAGATGAGCTTGTCCTTAGCATAGTCCTTAGCATCCTTTTGTTAAGGATATACAATCACATGAGTCATATAAATAGTTTTCTGCTTAGATGTTGTTCTTTTCACTGTTTTTAATGGAATCCAAGACCCTGGACACAAGACACATTTGTATCAGTGCAGCTGATCTTCGCATGAGTTTAATAAAGGAACAGATCTACAGTGGGCAGCTTCACACTGATGTAACTTGGGCTGAGAAGTTCAATTAATTTGATGGAATATGATTAGAGAGCTACTCAAATTGTGATTTCACAGAAATCACAAAATCAGGTGCTGTCCATGAAGAAAAAATATACTAAAACTAAAATGCTGACTCCAGTGGGAGCCAGCAGTCCTCCTTGCTGAGCAGCCCACTGAGGGGAAAGAGAAGAAGGGGGCTGTCGGCATGAAGGGGAGCAACCAAGATGGCTGCCACCCCTATTGGCTGAGAGGGCTGCCTGTTGCACAGCCCCGCCCCTCTCCACCAATCAGTGGCAAGGTGCGGGGATGTATGTTGGAAAGCCCTCTCCTCCAATCAGCAGCAGGTGCAGGGCCACTGGGGCCCCTCAGTGAATCAGGGGCATGGGGC